ATAATTCTATATATATATATATTAAAATAATTCTTTAAAAATTTTCAATTAATTTTTTTTAAAAAAAATTAAGGTGTTTTGTCTAGTAAATAACTATATCTATATTATATAATGGGAAATTGTTTTATGCGGGATGTATTGTATTTTTACAATATGTGGTCCAGAGGTATAAAGAATAGATGGTCTATCTAAAAACAATTGTAACTAACTGTCCAAATGTTTTTTAATATAATTATTATTTTTAGTTTTTATTTTTTATTTTTCTTCCATATTCATGATCTCCATGTTAAAGATTATATATTACTCTAAAAATAATATTTAAAAATATGTTTATTTCCAAGCCCGCATTTCTACAATATGCGGGCTGGACTCATAGAAACCGTGTCCTTATTTAATTTGTTATGTACCCATCCTTGCTTGATGGTGGCCATTGCCATATACAATTAATGCGTCAACGCTTAAAATCTTGACGCTGAAGGTCTTGTTTTAAAACTTTAGAAACAAAAAGGTGGACCTCAAGTTTCTTATGTTAAAAAATGCGTCTAGAAAAAAGAGGCTTGGGGATAAAGTGTAGACACGATTAAAACTCTAGAAAAATGATACATATGGTCATTGTATCTTACTTGTACCTACAAATGTTTAAATGTTGACATGTATCAATATGCAACACCAACTTTTTGTCAGGTGTCTAGACTCTAGATTACCAGGACAATTTCGTGAGTTTTATCGTATCTAACCTGCATTAAGACCCATATGTCTCAAACTTCTTCCGACTCTTTCTCACTCTCTAATCTCAATTTCATTTACTTACCCCTTTTTTGGCTTTTTTTTAATCTCCATTTCATTTTATATTATATTATTGTAACCGGGAAAAATCTCCCTTATATTTCAGGTCGACGAAAATAACCACAATTCAACTTGGCAAGCTATAGGGTACTGTGGGCCAGATCCACAAAAGGAAAGCGGCTGCCCTCACGGTCAACAAGAATCCAAAGGTCCTCTTCAGCATGGTGTCATCGACCTGGACTCCATGGACCACCATACTTTTGCGCACGTCCTAAGAGCTTCGGGATTCACGGTATGGCCTTGATATGGATTCCCAATTTCTTAAATAAGGATGCAGTTTGTATAGAACCGTGGCTCTAAACAATCAAAGTAAAATGCACCTTTAAATAGTGTCGAGAAATATTGTTTCAATACTGAAAATCTTTGTGATAGCTTTAATATATATTTTTATCTTTAAATATAAAATTTAAAGCATTAAAATTAGTGTAGATTGAGCAAATTTATAAACACTTGAAAATTTAGAAAATTAACGGTCCAAAAATGCGTTACAAGATACACTATTTCTAAAATTTGAAATCAATTTTTTTTCATGTCCATACATCTTGATGTCGATATGATCAATTTGAAGATATTTGGGCATCAAAACAACCTCTTCTAGTGAAATTTTTGAGGTGAGCTCTAATTTGATTGTTTAGAGTCTCGACTGTATATAAATTTTTTCCATTAAATAATACGTAACATATAAAAATAATAGCCATAAAGATAAGAAAAATTTATCAAATTACCCATGATATAAATAATTTATAGAAATTTGCAAAAAAATTTTGTTTTATTTTTCATATTAAAAAATAGTCTTATATATCATATTTTGCAATCAAATCACATTTTTTTAGTGTAGAAAGCATATCTTAGTTTTGTCTCTTTTATATTTACCCGATTTAAGCTCAAAGTTACTATGTCCATGCTTTTTAGCATCATACACCTATAAAAATTTTAAAATAATTTTAAATAAATAAATTAACTATCCCTAAATGATTTAGGAGTAGTTTAATAATTTAATTTATTTTAAAATATTTTTTATAGATGTTAATAGTGAGAATTATGGAGATATCAAATATGAGCTTAATCAAATATATATAAAAGAAATTAAACCACACGCTATGTTACCAAAAAAAGACATAATTTTAAAATATGAAACATATATGGAATTCTTTTTAAATATAAAAAATAAAAATTATTTATTTATAAATTTCCCAAGGAAGTACTTCTCCAAAAATTTAACACTTTAATCATATCTTTGACCTAATTACAAAATACCCATAAAAACACACATGATCATTAGTCGTAGTAGTTGCAAATGGCAAGACGTTACATACTTTGGTCTTATATGGGTATTCTCATAAATTTACCAAAAGATAACAATGATAGTAATGAATAACAACAATAATAATGATCCTCCACTGCTTCTAAGTCTTTCGTGATGCCGTCTTCTTTTTCTCGCAAGGAGTTTGGTTTATCTAAAACATTCTTTTATCTTTTCCTATCAATGGTTCGAAAATATTTCAGGTCCACCAAACTTGGGTGGTGAACAATAAAATGAACGCCAAAGTGATCACATTTCTAAAATGTTAATTTTGTTTTGTGGAGTGAAGAGAATTTATCACCGTCTCTTTTATATTTAAATCGTTTATGATATTTTGTTGTTGCTCTCAAATGTATAAAAGAAGATTACGTTGGTCTGAGGTCTGAAACCAAGAATTGACTTCTATGTAATTCCCTATTTTATTTATGTTAGAGATGTAATTTTTCTAGAGAAAAAAAGAAAAAGAAAAACTTAAACCTAACGTATCATTTGAATTTGATTATTTTAATTTACTTTGTCCAGCAATTTTCTTGTTGTAAACCTTAGAACCGTGTAATGGAGGTGACATGTCTTACTCTCTATTGGATGGGTGGGGTCCCCAGTAAATCAACATGTTAATCAAGGGTTCCCCTCATTGGTCCGTTCGGATCCCTCTATCCTTTCATCCAACGGTAGGCAAGGCAACGCAACTGACCACCATAACACACTAGTAAGACTCGCCCACCTGATCAAAACTTCTTTGATCTTGATTGCAGTTTTTCGTGGAACACAGGTATCACAACCCAAAGAGAAATTCAGCAATTTTACAATAAAATGCGACGCGGTTGTGGTGGGTTCAGGCTCCGGAGGCGGTGTGGCCGCCGGCGTACTGGCGGTCGCCGGCCACAAAGTGGTTGTGCTCGAGAAAGGCCACTACTTCGCAAGATCCCAGCTCTCCCTCCTCGAGGGCCCGACCATGGACCAAATGTACGACCGCCACGGACTGATCGCCACAGACGACCTTAGTGCCATAATCCTTGCAGGTTCTACAGTTGGCGGGGGCTCGGCAATTAACTGGTCAGCAGCGATTAGAACCCCAGATCATGTCCTAAATGAATGGAACCAAGTTCATGGCCTCGAGCTCTTCGAGAGCAAGGCCTACCATCAAGCTATGGATGTGGTGGCTCGAGACATGGGGGTGCAGACACAGGTATCCGACGAGGGTCTTGCTTGTTCTGCACTAAGAAAGGGGTGCCAGGAGCTGGGATTTCCAGTGGTAAATGTTCCGAGGAACTCTCCGGACGACCATTATTGTGGTTGGTGTTGCTTTGGATGCAAGGATGGGAAGAAGAAGGGGACAGGTGAGACATGGCTGCTGGATATGGTTAACTCTGGCAATGGTGTTGTGGTGAGTGGGGCCAGGGTTGTTGAGGTGGTGCAAAGGAAGAGGAAGGGGATGAGAAATTTAGCAGTTGGGGTAGTTTTTGAGAGGGAAAATAAGAGGCTTGGGTGCAGAGAAAGGTTTATGATAGTATCCAAGGTTACAGTTGTGGCCTGTGGAGCTCTAGGGACTCCAGTTTTGTTGAAGAAGAGTGGGCTGAGGAGCCAAGAAATTGGTCGGAATCTGCATATACACCCCACCAATATGGCATGGGGCTATTTTCCCGAAAATCGGGATTTTGAGAAGGAGAAGAGGAGCTATGAGGGGGGGATCTTGACGGCCATGTTACCGGTTCCAGGGAAATCTAAGGATTCAGGTTATGGGGGTTTGATTCAGAACCCAGCTCTTCATCCTGGGATGTTCTCAGTGGTGATGCCATGGATGTCCTCACTAGATATGAAAGAGAGGATGACAAGGTATGTGTGTGTTGCCGGTCTTTGCCAAATCAGAATTACACCCAATTCAAATCGGTGGTTCCTGCACTCTAAATCGCTGGGGCAGCATAATTCACCCAATTCAAATCGGTGGTTCCTGATTTGGATTGGTGTACTTACTCAAATGGAAAAAGATAATTAACAAGAGGGGAAATTAGACTATTATTTGATTCTCCCCTTCCACCCGCCAACTTTTAAGATATTGTATAACACAAGAGTAATTTATGTACAGACCTTAAAATTTTAGGTAAAATATGAAATGTTTCACTTATATGTAAAAATTACAAATAAAGTAGGTCAACCCTCTTTTTTTATTTTATTTTTTCAAAATTGTCTCTCAGTCAATTTGAGCTTTAATTTTTTTTTTTTTTAGTAGTGTACTTCTAATGAAAAAAATAAAAAAAAATTAAAATTTGGGTTGACCGAAAAAAAATTTATCAACCTTCTTTGTAATTTCTGCTTATAAAAAAAGTATTTTTTGTTTTTCCTAAAATTTTAAGATCCATTCGTAAAACACAATTGAAGCCATAATATACAGGCTCACACATACAGACATATATAGAAGCCATAATATACAGGCTCGCACATACAGACACATATATAGGGAGATGTGCTTTCTCTTTCAACTAATCCTTGTCTATCTTAGGTTCTCTCGAACCGTTCATCTCTTTGCCCTGGTGAGAGACAAAGGGTCGGGTGTGGTCAGCTCTCCCCCTTACCTCAGTTACAAGATGAGCCACAGCGATAAGGAAACCATGAGCAATTGCATGGAGAAGATGCTCCGAATACTCGCAGCTGCTGGGGCTGAAGAAATCGGAACCCACGGAAGCAATGGTGAAAGAATCAACGTAAAAGTTGCAAGCTCACATGAATTTGAGCGATTTGTGCGAGAAGTTAGCAGAAAGCCTTTACAACGATTCTCCAATGGATACTGGAGACCTATTTGTTCAGCGCACCAGATGGGTACTTGCAGGATGGGGGCCCACCCGAACGACTCGGTGGTCGATCAGAAGGGTGAGTGCTGGGAAGTTGAGGGACTGTACATTGCAGATTCGAGCGTGTTCCCGACTGCCTTAGGAGTGAACCCCATGCTCACAGTGCAAGCCATTGCTTATTGCACCGCACATGCAGCACTCGATGCAGTCTCTAGGAAAACTACCAAAAACTAGACTTTTATCATTCTGAACTTAAATTTTCATTTTTATATCTCTTTCTAGTTTCTCGGTTTGTTTTCCCGATAAGCAAACAGGGGTATTGAAATTTAAATAGGAAAAGTATACAAAGAAACCATTTACTTTCTAAAAAAAGTTACTGTAATTCTTGTTTGTCAGATTTCTAATCAGGTGGTTTTGTGAGTGTCATTGATAAAAGTCAAAAATTAAAATAAAAAAAAATTGAACTTTGTGATACATCTGAGGTATCCAATTTAAAATCTAATGATAGAGGTCATTGGGACTTGTACTAAAAGATGAATGATCTGATATTATACAATCTTATTTGCTTACCGATTTATGGGGGAGGGAAACCCTTTCTTGATATGATTTGATATTGTTTTTCTTTGGTTTTTTATAAGTATGGTGAAGACGTGACCGTTCACGAGTAAAGCATCGATAGTTTTCTTTTCTTTTTCTTTGTTTTGTGGAAAAATCACGTACGGACCTTAAAAAATAGTCTTTTACACGTTAATTCATATTTAGGGGCAGTGTTTGCAAACTCGACTTGTCCAACTCCGATCTGATGATTACAAATGCTTGATAGTGTTTGAATTTTAATTTTTTTTTTCTAAACATCCAAATCACTTGAAATTTTAGGCATGTGTTCATAAAAAATAGACGAATCTTGGAAAAATATATAAAAAAAGATATTTTACATGAAAAAATTGATAAAAATACCCCCTTAGAGTTTTGGGGATATTTTGGTCAATTATTTTTACAGATTATTATTTTTTATATTTTTATTAAGTGCGGTTTGATGAGAATAAAACATGCCTAAAATTTCAAGTGATTTAGATTTTTAGAAAAAACATTAAAATTCAAATACTACCGGACATCCGTAGTCGTTTAGATCGGAGTATGGGCAGTTGGGTCCATTTTTTCTTGGGAGCCCATTGGCTCACAGGATCATATTGGATTGGTCCGGACCTGCCCAGTTATGCCAATTGATTCGGCTGGTTTATTGGTGTAGACACTCCATTTTAAATCTGGCAAATTCTATGGTTTTCTAAACCCTTATGACCACATTATCCTAGTAGACCCAATTTAATTATCCTAAAGCTATCGAAATCCTATCTCGATTTGAAGTAGAGCCCAAGAGCTTTCCAACGGTCTAAGAATCGCATGAATCGGATCTACGGATAAAAAGATATAATAAATAACAATTTAATCCCTATGTGACCCAACTGTCGGGCCGCAGGCCAGGCTGTAACGGGACCGACAGACCCATACTTGAGCTGATGATGCAGTCAACGCATCTTATGATGCAGTAAATGCGTGTTTTTTAATTAAATAAGGTTAAAACTTCAAGATAAATCCAAAAAATTCCAAATAATTTAGAACAAATCACCAATTGAATAGTATAAATACCCCCTCTCTCTAACCAAAAAGAGAGAAAAAAAAGACATCAAAACAATCCTTATAAATTTCCGAAATTAGAAAAATTACCTAAAAATACCAAATATAGGAAAAACTTTTAGAAACTTCCTAAAAAATTAGAAAAAAATCCCCAAAAATTCCAAAATATTAGAGAAAATATCAGAATTCATATTCAACCTCTGGAGATCATAAAACCCTTAAAATACTAAGAAAATTCTCCTCTAGATCCCAGAAACATCGACAACTTTTAAAAAATCCCTAGATTGAACCTAAAGAAAATATAACCGTAGCCTCTTGAGAAAACCTAGACCTAGGCCACAAAAACCCTAGATCAAAACTAGAATTAAGACACAACAACCCTAGATCTAACCATTTACATCATAAACCTTCTGGTCAACATCCGAATCAGAGAGAAAAAGAGGACCGGTTCTGATACGGGCGAGTCCTCGAAGGCTCGGGAATCCCGGGCCATCCGGCCCAGTTTGGTATTATTTCTTCCTCTCTCTTTCTTCTTATTTACTGTTTTGCTTCTTTTATTTATTTTTTATCTGTTAACTTGTCCTAAAAAACGTATTTTAATGCTCTGGATCATGCTGGCTCATCCACAGATCTGAGAGTAAATTTGCTCGCTTCCAGGCAAATCTGGCCTCAGATCTGAATTCGATCTGTCCCACTTTCTCTACTGCTTTATTTACATCTTTTTAATTAGTTTAAAGTGTTAAAATTCGAGAGATCTTCATAGAAAGATCTATCAGATTTTCATCGTAAACAGTTTGGCATCCACTGTGGGGCTATTTCGAGCTTGATCCAAGCTTCAAAATATGATTTTTATTCACTGATTTTCACTGTTTTCAGTCACAAAAGGTCCAAAAAGTCGGCTGCGATGCTTTTTATGGGCGACACTCGCCCAAATTCAAAGGTCTCAGAAACCTCTGGAACTTTGTGGATCTATTCTAGAAACTCTTTTGTGACTGCACAAAAAAATTCAAATCAAAATAAAATTTTTAAAATACAAGAAAATATTTTTCAATTCAATATGGGCTTTTTTGTTTTACTTTATTTTAATTTATTTATCATTAAGATTTTTATTATATCAAGACTAACAAGATAAAAAGATAAAAAAATAAAAAATAATAATTTTTTGGTCGACACCAGCCGTGTCGCCCACCCTGCAAGGGAAACACCAGTAGTGCCGCCTCGGAGACACCACCCGTGTCCCCCAACTGCAAGTGTCCCAGAAAAATTTTGGGACCCCATTGGACCATTTCAAGGACTTTTGGGTTCCTGTTGACCAATTTTTTACCTAAATAAAAATTTTAAAAATATAAAAAAAATATTTTGCTTCAGACAGATCTGTTCTGTTTCTATCCTTTTGATTTTATTTTAGTTTGTTAATTTTGACTGAAATCATATTTTCTCCACTTTCACCATGCTTAGTTCAACTGTGTTTCATCAAAATTAAAAAGCTAAATAAAATAAACCTAGACCCACTCTTGGTCTGAGCCGAGACTCGTGCACCATCTATTCTAGATCTTAGTCTAGGTTCTAGTATAGGTCTAAGCGTAAGAGTTGCCTCTAGAGCTAGACTAGGCTTACCCTAGTTCAAGGTCTTAACCAAAATCCATTGAGTCTAGTAAGTCTAGGTTCCAATCTAGTCTTAGCTAAGGTTTTTTCCCCTAGAGTCAAGATAAGTTTGCCTTAAGTCGTTGAGTTTAGATCTTACCTAAGTCTAGATTTTAGAACCCAGCTAAAAGCAATCACCATGTCAGCCACTCAAGGCGACCATGATGACTGATCCACGACCGACTCTAAGCTTAACCTACCCAAACCTAGGGACCAGTATGCTGCAATCCCTTGGAGTTATCGACAGACCTCAGGACAATCCATTATCCAATGCCCAAGTCTTCAATTAGAGGCAGAGTCCCAAGAATCCACTCTTAATCATGAGATCTGTATGGCTCGAAAAGCCAGCGCCGCCCAAAAAACCTTGAATAGTCAGGAAGTCAGACCAAGCGCCATCCTACAGGGGATTTTTGGCAACCAAAGTAGAAGTCGAGTGTGGGAAGAAATTCATGCAACATCTAAAGCCAATTCCCCTAACTCGAACCAAGATAACTCTGAGGTGCAGCAATCTCAAAACCAAGACCCACCTAGGTCTAGGGGATCTAACCCAACCTTGAGCCACCATAGTACAACTCATTATGTCCTGAATATTGTGCAAAGTAGAGGTGTCGACTCAAACCGACCCTTAGGTGAGATAGGCGTCCAAGCTGCCCTTAAAAGTCTAGTTGACCTAGGTTACATTATTCATGACCCAACTTACGGGCCGATCCCAAACCAAGTTAGTGGTATAGGTCAACCCTTAGCACAACCAAGTCGGTCGATTTTTCAATCGGTCCCTTTGGTTCATCCGGTCCAACAAACTGTGCAATTTCCACAACCATTGGTGGCACCTATGGGTTAGTGCACCCCTCAGGCACCAATATATTAAACCGCCCCGATGACTGCGGCTCATCAATCTCAGGCCCATGCAGGACAACATACAACCCAAGTTTCAACTTATCAGTATACGATTGGGAACCCACCAACCAGTGGGCCTACTGCCATGCCAAATACTCAACAAGAAGGCACCTTAAAAGCAATACAAGATATGCTTATAAGAATGGGCATGCATGAAATTCTACCCCCAAAGGCCTATGTTTACGAGACCCTTAGAGGTATGGAAGACCTTCTCCTGGGATTTGTCGTCCCAGAATTTAGAAACAAGTTCGATGGGAAGAGTGATCCAGATACTCACTTCAACACGTACCTCCTTTCCGTTCGAGCTTTGCGAGCCAGGCCTAACAAACTGAAGGTCATCTTTTTACAAACATTGACCAGTGAGGCCTTGAACTGACATCAGAGAACAATGCCCACTCGACCACTCATCACTTCAGATGAAATGTTCAACCTATTTAATCTCTCACTACCGCGGGTCGACACCAAGACCTATCTCCCTAGGCGAACTCAATGCAACAAAACAAAACCCAAGAGAACCCTTTGAGGATTTCATCGATCAATTCCGTGATGTGGCAATGCGAGTCATAGAATGTCCACTTATAGACCAGCCAAGATCTCCATAGTCTTACAAAATGCTGCTTCCGAGTACAGGACCTTCTACTGCCAAGGTCTTAACCCCCACTTTTTTGACTCCATGATCGAGCGGGTGGCGCGACATGAAAGGGTCAGAGGGACACCCCTCAGCATCAAGCCCAACAACAAGCCGATAAAAACTCCCCAAAATAAGAACAAAAATAAGGGGAATGCTTCCGGTCAGATTAATGAGATCGTCGTTAACGGATCAGCCCAAGGTTCAGCTGCTCAACGCAACAATCATAATCAAAACCGATGGGTCAGCCTAGAGCCAACGCTCAAAATAATAACCAAAGGTGAAAGGATAATTTCACCTCTCTTAAAGACCTATTAAAAAAAGTGTTGGAATTACTCTTGAGTAAAAATATGGTTTATCTCCCGCCACCATCTGAATCATCATTTCACGTCATGGATAAGAGCAGGTGGTGTAAATGGCATCAAAACCATGTTCATGATACTCAAAACTACATATATTTGAAACGAGTGATTCAAGGGTTAATCAATAGGGGGGATATCACTATCTCACCTAGAAATCAACTTGTCGAATAGCCTAATCAAAAGATAAGTATCTTCACAAATCCTCTCCCTAAAAATATGGTTACAACGACCAAAAAGCTTGGAGCTCAAGACAACTCGAAAGAGAACGTTGTCATTCACTTGATTGAGTGTGGAGATGAAGAAGAGGATCCCAGTCAGTTCATATTTGTTTGTGATCATCACTTTCAATAACCCGAAGAAGATATTTGGAGCCTCCTAAGAGGAAACCCTTCATCTCCAAACC